AGTACCACTCTGCCAAATCCACCATCGTCTCTGGACCGCTGAGTGATGGCATAGTGAGTTACAAAGGTTGCCTAAGAAAACATTGCCGCTCTACAAACATCCTGGATGGGAACCAGTGCCACAAATGCGGCTGAAGAAGCTTGTGCCCTTGTGGAAGGTGCCGTTAGAGCCAGAGCAGAGACTTTCGCCAGGTCATACCATGTGCCGATGCAATAAAGTGATCCACGATGAAATCCTCTTGGTCGAGACTAGGAGACCTTTCGTGCTACTGCCACGAGTAGCTTTCCTAAACAATTTAGTCCTTTTTACGCAGAAGGTCAGCGCTTGCCTGGTGTCTAGTGAACATAGCCTCTTTTCCTGGCTATTTGCTTGCGGCTCTGGGTAGAAGACCGGAAGAAAGATGTCCCAGTTACCGTGGAATTGCAAAATCACCTTTGGAAGGAAGGCTGGGTGAGGGCACAGCTAGACTTTGTCCTTGAAGAAGACCACGTATGGAGGTACCGAAGTAAGAGCCCTAATTTCTGCAACCCTTCTGGCCGAGGTGAAGGCCACCAGGAAGGCCACCTTCCAGGATGAGTAAAGAGCATGTTGCCTGGGGCTTGAATGGGGGACCCGTGAGTCTTGATAGTACCAAGTTGAGGTCCCAGGGCTCACCTGTGGGTACAGTCTGTCCAGCCCCTTAAGGAAGCAGCTACAGAGCGCATTAGCAAAAATGGACCTGCCGTTTACCCTGGGGTGGAAAGCCAAAATCACCTCCAGGTGTACTCTAATCGAATACACAATAGCCTTTGCTACTTTAGGGGTAGTAAATGAGATGGAGAGACTCAAGGTTTGGATGATCTAGGCATCCGTGATCCTGGGAGATGAGATCCAGAAACAGAGGTAGGGTGATTGGTGTTTCCACCAAGAGGTCCAGAAGGGTGGTGAATCAGTGTTGACGGCCAGGGCTATCAGGCTGAGTCTCGTTCCCTCCTCTCTGACCTTCAGCAGGATCTTGTGTATGAGCAGAATGCGAGGGAATGAATGGAAGAGATGGTCCCTGCATTGGAGAAGGAGTGAGCCTGGGCTGTGATTCATGAATTGAAGACACTTCCTGTTGAACCTCACTGTAAACAAGTCTATCTGGGGAGCTCCATACGTCTGGAAAATGTCCTTCACAATGTCTGGGCAAACGGATCTCTTGTGACTGGAGAAGGATCTGTTAACTCGCCATGTGCCCCGAAAAGATAGGAGGCCTTGAGGTGGATTGAATAAATTCCCACAGGTGAAGTGTATCCTGGCACAGGTGAGAAGAGCACACTCCACTATGTCTGTGTATATAGAACATCGTTCTCGTGTTGTCTGTAAACACCAACATGCATTTGCCTTACAGGTGGGGCTGGAACATTTCGCAGGCAAGGGGCACTGCTCTGAGTTCCCGCACATTGATATGTAGTGAGAACTCCTCCTAGAACCAGAGGCCCTGAGTTCTGAAGCCCCCCAGATAAAACCTCTCCTTCCCCCAACCCAGGCAGAAGCATGGTGACTAGAGACATTGACAGCTGCGGTTTCGCATATGGGACATGTGCACATACTGACCCCAGATCCAGCCATCACAAAAGGGAGGTGATCACTGAAGGGGGAAGTATGACCACCATGTCCAGGCGGTCCTGGCGTGGTTGGTACACTGATGTTAGTCAGGTCTGAAGAAGTCTGAGTCACAAACTTACATGTTTCACCACGTATGTGCATGATGCCATATGCCCCAGGAGTTTCAGGCAATGTTTTGCTGTGGTAATGGGTTGGTTTCTGAGGCTCTCTATGATCAAGCCCAGGGCCCAGAATCTGGCTTCCGGAAAGAAGGCTCTGCCCTGGAACGAATTGAGGACCGCCCCTATGAACTCTATCCTTTAGCCGGTGGAGATTGTTGATTTTTGCATGTTTGTCAACTTCTGAAAGATTGATAACATTAACTGTATATCTGCCTCCACTAGGGCCCCGATCTGCCCTTTGATCAGCCAGTCATTGAGGTTGGGATACACCTGAATCCTTTGTTTCCTTAGGAAAGCCACGACAACCGCCAGGCACTTTGTGAAAACCTGAGGGGTTGCTGACAGGCCGAATGGAAGTAATGTGAACTCATAGTGTACTTGGCCCACAATGAATGAGAGGAATCTTCTGTGGCCTTGGAAGATTGAAATGTGAAAATAATTGTCCTTCAAGTCGAGAGAGGTATCAGTCCTCTGGATCAAGAGATGGGATAATGGAGTCCAAGGAGAACATGAGGAACTTCAGCTTCTTCATGAATCTGTTGAGATTTTGCAGATCCAGGATGGGTCTCAGACCGCCATTAGCCTTTCGGATTAGGAAATAATGGAAGTAAAACCCCTTGTCCCTTAGCTCCGGAGGAACATCCTCTACTCCTCCCACTTACAGAAGCATTCACACTTCCTGAATTAGAAGTTGCTCGTGAGAAGGGTCCCTGAAGAGGGACAGGGAGGGAGAATGGGAAGGCAGGGAGGAACTGAACTGCAGGGTATCCTAGTCCTATCGTGCACAGCACCCAGCAATCTGAGGTAATATGGGCCCAGGCCCGATAGAAATGGGACAGCCAGTCCATAAAGATAGGGGAGGTTGGATACTGTCCTGGTACACCGTCCTCGGGTGCACCCTCAAAAGGCCTGTTAAGACCCAGGCGATTGTCTAGAGAGCCACGGCCCATGGGTCAATGAGGGTTGGGGAGGAGGCCTCCTTTTGTAGCACCTACCCTGCGTCTTATTATAATCCTGCTTCCTCTGAGGTTAGTAGAAATGAGGCAAAGGTTGGGGCTTAAAGTGCCCCCTCAACGGGGTTGGGGTATGTAGACCTAGTGACTTCAAGGTGGCCCTCAAATCCTTTAAGTGGTGAGCTAAGAGTCTGTCTGCTCTGAAGAGAGAGATGCACTCTCGAAAGGAAGGTCCTGAATTGTTTACTGCTCTTCATATAGAAGTCTGGGTTTGCAATGAGGGAAGAGGTGGGGGAACCCTACCCTCTGATGCAATAGAGTACAACCTCCTTGTCTGAGGTGCTTGGGCCTGATGGAAAGCCTAGGGTGTCCAAAAAGGCCATTGAACAGGTACCTGCCACTGTGCAGGCAAGGCCACTGGTGGAAACCCTTGGCTCATATCAGCCATCAGGTACCAGCGGTCAGAGTGGTGTTGGATCCTGCGGGAGCTGTAGCACTCTGGTTTGGAGTTAGATGGCAAGAAGTCACTCCCCGATGACCACGGGGGAATGGTGCCAGATAGTATCAGAGTGGTGCCAGGACGGGGGTGACTACTGCTGTGAAATCATCGAGATTTTCCCTTTGATGGCACCTGTGGCCAACGCTGTAGCCATTCTCGTTTCCGGTACCTGTTCCTACCTGATGGGGGAAAGCGGTATCGGGAGGGACAGCAGGTCTCTTGCTGCCTCGAATGCCTCTGGTGTAGATCGAAACGCCATCACTGCACTCCTATGGCTCTCACTCGGAGGAGACTCCAATGGTACCAGACTTGACAGTTCCCCTTGCTAGCCTGGAGTCGACAGTACCAGACTGGCAGCCAGTGAGCCCGAGTGGCCCGACATGGCTCTCACTCTGCCAGCTTCCTTGTGACCAGAAGGCTTCTGAGTTGGGGAGCGTCCTGTCTGTCTTTTGTTGTTTCTACGGCACCGAGCGTCCCCATGAGAGGTAGATCTCCACTGCATCGGAGAGCCCTGGTGATGCCGAGAGTCCTGGGATGCAGATGAGGAGTCCTTTCTTGGTGTCTGAGAGGTTGGGCTATGCTGCCTGTCTCTCCGAGAAGCCAGCATGCTTTTCACCAAGATGGAGGTGCTTGGTATCAAGTTGTGACTTGGCTCCTGAGGGGGGACAAAAAGCCATCTCCATGAGGAGGAACTTGAATCTCTGGTCCCTGTTGTTTTGGGTACAAATACTGTAGCTGTCCCACAGGTGAGATTCCCCCACACACTTAAGGCAAGAAGAGTGAGGGTCACTAATTGGCATGGGTTTATGGAAAGTCTCACACTACTTAAACCTCGGAAACCGAGGCATGCCACGGTACCGGGGAAGAGGAAATCCCAGTAAGCAGAGTCCTACTCTATTACCACTATCTAACACTAAAAGTATAATAACTACTGTTTTATGAACTATAAACAGGAAAAAGAGACGTAGTTCACTGGGTTGACACAAGGATGAACAGAAGTTCCAGCAACCGTCACAGGTGGCAAGAAGGAACTGAAGGGGTGGTGAGTCAGCAGGCCCCTATATAGCAGCGCAATGAGGGCGTGACTCCAGGGGACACCAGAGCCAACCCAACAGATATCACTGAGGGGAAAACTTTCTGGCGGCGGTGCATGTGGTGCACGCACACCTACATTGGAATGGATATGAGCAAGCACTCAAGGAAGAATGGTTGTTCTGAAACATCATATCACTCCCCTCTTGGTTTAGACTCCTGATTATAATGCTGTGCTTGCTAAAAGCCGCATGCAGGACAGCTCTTCACCTTTCTTCCATATGAGAAGCATTTACTATTGTGTGGAGCAACAGGGGACTATTGAAACATTTTTTCAAAATGTGTATGTTCCTCACAATAACATACACTTCACTTCAGAACAATATTACCAAAGCTAATTGATTTAATGGTTTTTACATAAGGGAAGTGCTGTAACTCTAATATTGGAATACCTGGATCAAATTGCCAGTTTGTTTATCTTTGTGACCTGTTATAAAACATAGGCAATTCACCCTGACAAAAGAAAATGAATTCTCTTGTGTTAGAAAAACAGATTATGTTGCTTATTTACATCTAAATCTTAAGTGTAAATGTGTGTGGCAGGTCAATAAGTGGATCAAATCAATGTTTCCGAAGTAACGTTCCCCTAAATCAGATTTTTTAAAAAGCATTCTATATTGTGATTTTCTTCATTACGGCCATGATGAGAAAGTGATGAAGATAGAACTTTAATCCCTGTGGAAAAGGTCACAGCATTAAGCCTACCTGACTAGATTTTCATTGTCTCCAGTCCCCTTGCATGTAGCACATTCAGTTCTTAAATCCTCTGACTTGGGTTTCTTTTGTAGAACAGACTGCCTTTGCCGTCTTTCTCTAGGAATACGTTCCTGTCACAGAAGAAATCAAAAGAAAGGGGTGGGGAGGGGGAAAGCAAACATTTTCAATTATAGTACTGAAGGCAACATTACACACCTGAAGTTTAATATTTTGTGAATCTAAGTTAAAAAAAATACACTATTATCCCAACCTCAGGCTTTTCTTCTTCAGGCACAAAGCTTCGTTTTCGTCCTCTAGTTCTCTAAAAGAAAATACATTTAGAAATTAATTTAATTTAACGCAAAATGTCTTTACAATTAATCTACTGTTCACAAGAGAAATATCTGCAGAAATCTGTTAGAAAAACTATTGAACGAATGCAAAGATAACTACAATTGTAAACATTCGAGCACTTTCCTTAGTCTTTTTGAAACTATTCAATACACAGCAACATCAAAAGAGTGTGTGATTACATTTATTTAATGTATTGGATTGGAGGTGTGGATTCTTGTTCCAGCAAAATAAATTTCAATGGTTTTCTTCTCAGATATATTCTAGAAAAATACAGAAAACCTTCTATAGACCATTGCAACCTAACAAATATATAATTTACACATATATGGGAACAATCTATTTGTAAGAGTAGAGTCCAAGTCCTCAAGCATGTATGCAAGTGCTATACAAGATCCACTAGCTCTAATCAAGATACTGTACTGTTATTTATCTGCGTACAACGTCCTGTAAAGCACTTTAAACCTAACCTCAAATCTTTGCCCCCTCTAGAAAATTATTTCAGTTCCCCCTCTGCTTCATTTGAGCAGAGAAATCCATACTCTATGATGTTATCCAACATCTTTTATAGGCAGAGCCAAGATCAACACATTTACTTATCTAATTCACATACCCTTCATGAGAAGAGGGCCAGAACACACTCCTAAAATTGAAAGCTTTTGAGACATAACTAAGTATTAAAATGATGAAAATCTGAAGTTTAATGTAGACATCACCTTGTACCCCTGGACAGTTTTAAGTGTCCCAATCATGACATGCTAGGAAATTTTAAGCATTTTGTCCCCGAAGGAAATGGGGAAACACTGCTTGTGAATAAAAGGGTAAAAATAAAGCAGGACGCATTATTCCTTCTACAAATATAAAAGATCAAAGTGCTGTGCTAGCACAGATCTGCTGTAGAAATGCTTACAACAGGTGTGCCGTGTCATGACAAGAACAGCTGCTGTGGTAAACAATTTTAAGAGAAAGAAAGAAAGAAAGAAAGAAAGAAAGAAAGAAAGAAAGAAAGAAAGAAAGAAAGAAAGAAAGAAAGAAAGAAAAATTAAGGCCAACTTTAATCACAATATCAATGAATACGAATCACTGTTTTATTAATATTTCCTCACCTTTCACTCCCCTCCATAATCTGATTAAGAAATGTGAAAAAAATGAAATGCTTATAGAATATAAAAGCTTGGACCAAAATTTTCAAAAATAGGGAGGGGGCTAGAGTTAGGCTCAAAATCCATATCTGGGCATCTTCCCAATGTTCAAAAGTGAAGAGCACTCAGTAAGGTCAATGGATGCTGCTAGAAGCTCAACAGTGAGAAAAACATTTAGGTTCCTGAATATGAATTTAGAAGCCTAACTTTAGGCCTCTATTTTTGAAAATCTTGACCTGGTTATTTTAATGCACACAAAACATACATATATACCTATTTTCTGTGCGTAACAATAAATAATAAGGTTTTACATTCCATAACCATCCTAAACTTTTGGATCTTCTTTTATACACATAACGATATATATAACACCGTTAACTATGTGTACAAGTATATTATGCACACAATTTTATTATATATTTTCTTTATACTCCAAGGAAATTACAATTTAATACCATAGATCTGCAATTAATAGGAAATAAAAATTCTTTTGATAATACCATGCATGTGCATTGTCTCTTCATTTACTCAGAACGAATTAACATTTAAACAAATAAATGCCAAAAATTAACAGGCATATTGCTATTAGTTGCATCTCTCCAAATCTAATTCATATTTAAGTGAAGGAAATGTTTCTGTACTGTTTCTGTACTGGGGAAATTAAAACTGTTCAATGTTAAGTAGGACAATTAAGTCAAACCCCAAAAACCTTTTGTCAAATTGAACAGCTTTCAATGTATGTATGTGCATGGAGAGAGCGATGCCAATAACTATCTGGCAGATGTTCATAAACCTGCAGCATTAACTATATATCAACATTCACAAATACATATGGAAAGATTAGACAAATATCTTTTAAAATTATGAAACAAAGTACTGAAAACAAATCATAGATTAAAGCACTCAGAATATAAAACAGAAAATATGCAACATATTTAAACAATGTGAATTTAATACCATCTGTTTTCACTGGCTACTAGCACAGAACAGATGGAATGGTTATCACCAAAAGTGAAAACTATTCCAGGATTGCCAATTGACTGTAGAATATAATTTATTTAATTTAGTTTATACTAACAGTGCTAAGGGGAAAAAAACATACTATAATAAAACATAAGAGGTTTCGGTGATCTCTACAGCAACAAATTTTGAGGTTTCAAATCAAGTAAGCAAGTCACACACAGAAGTCCACCTTGAGAGAGTCACTACATTTATCTCTCTTAAACCACAGTATTAACTGTAACCTTCATGTGCTAAACAACTGGCACAAGCTGAACAACACCCTTCCCCTCATCGCCCCCCAAAACGCTTTCTAGAAAACAAGAAAAGAAAATGAAGCTGAGAAATTCAGGGATCATTCCAATAACACTGCTCTACAGCCAAAATGCTTCTGAAATAAATGTAGTCAAACTTTTCTAATTCTGGGTCATTGAGAACGAAAATGATGCTTAAAATTGTTGATTAGCTCTAGTTTTCAAGATATGCTATTGGGTCAGTATATACCACCCTTGACTTGGGAATGGCGGAGGTTAAGTGAGTTATAAAGGGAAGAGATCTCAATTTAAACCAGAAATGACTAAAATACATCTTTGACTGGATCTATGAATAAATCTATGACTGGGTTTGGACAGTACTTGCTTTTAGGCAAAA